AATAATAATAATAATAATAATAATAATAATAATAATAATAATAATAACTTGTACTTTCTAAATAATATAAATTTCTGTAGCATTAATTATGCAATTTTCTTCAAAAAAGGTAATTTAACGAACAAATTATTTTTTTGTTTTTGACTCAAAAATATAAAAAATCAGAAAAATTATGTACATCAACTGAAAGATAAACTAATCATCCTTATTTTGCCATCATTAGTTGTTTAATCGGTTATGTAGTTCATAAGATATTAATATTTCAAAATACTTAACCTACTATATCTTCTTAATTTTTTACTTGCGCTAAATAAAATGGTAAGGTTAAAATCAGCATGAAGAGTTCTATCCAATTACATGCTTGGTTTGTCTATAGCTAAACGGTCGGTATTCTTCACTTTTTGTAAAAATTTAACATCACATTTGACATCAGTAATGAAAACGGAATGTCAATCATCTGACACCGAAATTTGACGACAGTCTTTGACATGCACTGCGGTATCGACATATGGTCAGTTTTTAAAATGCAAAGAAAACGCATTTGACATCAAATGAACAGCTGTCAGATGAAGGCAGTTTTTGATGTCAGTGATTTTGACCTAATGAAAACCAGCTTTAAGTAATAATTGACAAAGCGAAATTTTTTTCATTAATAGAAATATTAAAAAAAGCAGCACTCAAACTCTTTTAATAAAACCACAAATTAAAAAGTGACCCATCATACCCCTCGATCATCAAGGGTTAAATTTTTTTTTGCGAAATATGTGCAAAAACAAAAAAAAATCGTGCCATAATTTTTATTTGCCAAAAGTTGGTCATATTTCCCATAGTACAGAATGTTGCAATAAAACAACTAGTTGGCGTGCTTTTTTAAATTCGGCCAAATCGCTTAGGCGGTTAAGGAGCCAAAGAAGAAGAAGAAGTAAGTTGGCTGAGCAATGATTTAATTGCGCTTTGAAAATTGTACTTCTAATCACAAAGAGATTTTGCATCGGATTTTTCATTGCTTTGAACTTTTCATGCCCACCTACTCAAGTTTAGGTGGGAAGGAGTTTTTCCAAAAGGAAGTTTGGCTTCACTTTACACAAATAGAGAGGATATCTAAGCTCTAAGAAATCGAACTTAATATAAAGCTTACCAGAATGACAGGTCTATGGCAAATTAGGAGCTAAGTTACAGCTGGATTTGTAATCTTACTAGATATTATTATTATTATTAGATATCTGTGTGGTATAACTATAATTGTACATATGTATGTATGCAGGTACGTATCTCTGATTTACCTTTCTTTTCTTCACACAGGCACAAAGGTTTTCTCAAAGACTGTCCGAATGGTCTACTGACGGAGCAAGTAAGTAAATGAATGTAATTTATAAACATACTCGTCTCTTAATTTTTAATACCTCTATAAAAGAGAACATAAATTTTTTGTTCGAACATTTTCACACATATTCAATACACATACAATGAATCCAATCAAAATAGTTTTATGTAATAGTTTAGCTGAAATATTCGTTGGCTGCTTTAAAAGAAAAGTACTGCAAATAAACCTAAACGGTTGCTTCATAGTGCTAAAGTTGTATGTATGTGAATATGTACCTACTAAGTTTACAAACAATTTTATTGCCTGCTATGTACCGGAAAGAATAATGCAAAACAAAACTCAAATTTATGGCGAATTTCGCCTTCGCTGGTAAAAACAAAAATCCCCTGAAAACATAAAACTTACAAAATGTGTGTAAACCAGCGGCCAAAAACCAGCAAATGTATGTACGTTAGGGTGGTCCAAAAAGGCATGTGGGGAAAAAGTTAAGTCAGAGTTTTTAGGCTCTCACCGCCTAGGATTGTTCTATACCGAAAATATATACCTCTATTTTTATATTTTGAAATTAAAAAATATTTAGATGTCGCTCAAGGCGACAAAGGAAAAAAACTCCTCGTAGATATGATATAGAATTCTTAAAAATCAACATTTCACGATCGGAAAACTCTGTTTCACCTGAGACTTCCAGTAATAATGCTCAATTATTTATTTAACCTATATTATAGGTCCCCAAAAACCCCCAGAAAATACAGGAATAAGCGATGGGGGGATAAATAAAAAATCTTTAGTATGAAAAAATTGCTTAATAAACAATTGGATATTGTTACTGGAAGTCTTCTGAAGAGGACCAGAGTTTACCAATCGAAAATGTTGATTTTCACGAATTCTATACCATTTATAGGAAAAATTGTTTTCCCCCATATAAAATACATGGAAAACTTTGAGCTCTTTGAACGCCTCTAAATAAAATTTTGGTTTCAAAATAAAAAATTTGGGTATATTTTTTTCGATATAAAACAGTCCAAGGCGATGGGAGTATTAAATGCCGACTTTACTTATTTTGGACGACCCTAATGTACATACATATGTACATATGTATGTATACAAGTGTAAGAATAAAGCCGAAGCAAACTTCAAGTTTTTGTGGTTAACACTAAACCATAACGGACGATTTAAATTTCTGTTTCTACCACTTTACGCCACTGGGATTTAGAATTTTTACGACAAGCAGTAAAAGGCGTACTTTCTTATATAACTACTGGCAGAAGCGAAGTAAGCAAATACACATGGTCTGAGAATGTTTTTGTTTTTGCGTAAAATTTGTTTACCAATTTTATTCAACATTTCTCAAACTAACAACCTACATGCATACGCACATACATACCTATGTACATATATCTAAGTTGAATGCATATGTATGTAAATTTTTCAAAAGGGCATCTTTTGTTTTAACAACACTTGTATATGTATGCATATGTGCATATTAAAGTATTCCAGTATGCATATGTATTTGGAAATACTCGTAAAAATACAAAAATATGATGGCTCTCATTTCGAAGGGTTTTTTGTGCCGGCTAGCCCTTGCATTGTTGTTGCTCTCTTATATTTAATCCATGCGCTTGCTCCAGTACACCAATATATGAAAATATATGCATTTGGCTTGTTTGTTGTTACTGCAGCTTGACGTATTAAACGAATATTCTGCCGTCAGCTGTTCGCTTCATCGTTATGCAAACGATACACAAGCCAGCAGACGCCCACGTCACTCTCGCAACAGAAACCATAACAAAAACAATATTTTCTTCGCTTCAACGGCTATGCGCCTAAAAATATGCCCGATGAATGAAATTTATGCTTGAAGTGTAGCTTGAGTTGTGGAGGCAGAGGTACGGTGCGGCAAGTTCGATTCTATCGCTTTCGTAGATTAAAAAAAAATCACCGGTGCTGGGATTCTGGAATTCGCTTCAGTAAACAACTAAACAAGTAAACAAACATTAATAAACGAACAGCAGGTGTGCCTAAAAATATGCAACGCCTTCAGGGAAATATTTCGGTTTCTTCTGTTAAAAATTTCTTATTGCACCTCCTTCATTTATGTAATTTCGCACAACTTTATATTTAAACCGGTTGTACGTTAAAGCAGCGGGCCTAAGTGAAAAGCAAACCAGTGGAATCTGCCTCCCAGGGTATGAACCAAGGCTAAAAATCGGAGTAAATGACGTAAAGAATCGTTAAGTTCGCGTAAAGTTGAATAGCCGGCGTTTTCAAACAGAGATAAACGCCATAATTGAGGCCGCTCGGAGGCTCATAACCTTCGCCGCTCCAGGACGGCCTATCGCTTTTTATTCTGACAGCAAGTCTGCTATGAAATCTCTTAAATCAAACGGAATATCATCCAAAGTAGCCATAGAATACCGAAAGAATATTGCATGGGTCCCTAGAAAAAGGAAAACTGATTAGCCGACGAGCTGGCAAGGAGAGAGGCGGAAATATCTAAAGTCAATTCTGCTCAAAATGCGGGCATACCTCTAACCTCCAACAAACAGAGACTAAAGGCCGAACTCATCGAAGAGGCAAATAGCAGCTGAGATGGGGAAACCACCTGCCTTATTGCCAGACAGATTTGGCCAAGAATTGGCATAAAGCGATCCATACCTCTTACTCGACTGGACCGCTCTTCTCTCAGATTTGCAGTCAGGGTTACCGCCGGACACTGCCTGATGGGTACAGGCGAAAAACGTGAGCATACCCCACCAACGTCTTTTGTCGCAGTTGCAGAGACGAGGAGGAGTTGGAGAGCATCGAAAATTGTTCAGCCCACGTGTGCTCCATACTCTGCGAGGTGGCAGTCGCTCTATCCTAACCCTAACCTGTATAAGGCTGTATGGAATCATAATCAAGCCAATTTTGTAGGCATTTCGGTTAAGGCTGCAGCAGTTCCATGCGCCATCAATATATGGAGCACTGATTTCTTCTTCAACTCGACGTAAGAGAACTCGGAAATGCATGGAAACTGGGAACTTTTGGTTCGGTGGGTATTGGCTTCCATTCACTAGATCTGTAACAGAGGTTCTGTAAACATATTTACGATTGGATGGTAGAGTTGGAGGAGATGTATTCTGTCAGCAACTCTCTGTTATTCTAAAGATACACTACCGCAATTCGCTGCATATTGGGGTGCGACGAAACATACTTTTAAGAAAAATGAATTCGCCAGATGGCGCTAGAGTCGAGTTATTCTGAAAATGTTGTAGTATATTCTAACCATAATATGTATGCCCCGATTTTGATGAAATTAGAAACGTATACAGTGGTGCGACGATTTATATGAAGCCTGTATATTGTAAACTGAGCTCAGATGTATATTTCAAAGAAAATCTCTAAGTTTGGGATACACTCGGCAATAACGTTTTGAGTTTGAAACAGCCTTTGAACTTTATTGTTTAGTGTAGCTAGTAAAATTATAAAAACTGTTTCGAAAAAATTTTAGTTTTAGAGTACATTTCATAAAAAGTAACATGAAATGGTGATTTAATTGTGTGTAGATAATTCAATGTTTTTCAATTTCAATATTGGAAGTCTCACTTTTCCCATAATCATTTATTTTGCCCATGCAGTTTAAAATACTTGCATTATCAGAAAAAAATCGTAAAAATAAACAAAGCCCAATTTTGGGTTTTAAGTATTATTAAAGGATTTTTTAACCTCTTGAGAACTACCTTGCAGTTTATGTGTTACTAGTGGGATTTGTATTAAATTTAATTTGTATTAACTTTTATTTAACTAAACCACTGTGCGCTCTGACGTCATCGCTATTTGCCAGCACCAACACTGCCATAGTTAGCCAAAGCTTTGCTAAAGCTCTTATTCCACCGAAACACTTGATTTACAAAACAAACAGGCTACAACAACAAAATACAAATAACTAACAACGGCAACAACAACTACCATAAGTGTTGCAAAACAATCATACAGAATTTACGAGTACAAGTAAAATAAAAAATAATATTTAATAATAAAACAAACAACATGGCGCCATACTTTGCCAACTTCCATGTTTTCCTGCTAGTCATAACACAGTTTTTCGCACACACCCACGCCGGCTTTTAATACCAGCCAGCTTTACAAGAAAAAACACACACACACATCCCTTACACATACTACCAGGACAAACGCTTACTACTTGCGTGCTCTACTTCTCCTCTTCAGTACACTTGACAACCGACACTAAAAGTCGTTGCATTTCACCACCAACATGTCAAGATTATTTTTTTATTACTTTCTGTTGTACGAGTAATTTTACGAATTTTGTATTTATGTTCTCAGAAAATTTTCTTTTGTTGTACTTTACAGGGTTTTATTAAAATTTACAAACAATTCTTCCCGCAAGGAGATCCCAGTAAATTTGCCTCGCTGGTGTTTCGTGTCTTCGATGAAAATGAGGTAAGTTAGTCACTGCAGTCGCCAATAACATTCAGAGCGAAGTAGAAGTAGAAAGAGTATAAATATATATAATAAGAAATACATACATACGCAACCAAAATGGCAGTTTGTAAAAACAACAATCAGCATTGCTTTGCTGTTGTAGTCGTCCATTCTCATTGTTCTATTTGGCAGTGGCTGAAAGTATTAATTTTGCTGCAGCTTTTACGTGAATTGGCTGCTCATTTATTAATCCAATTCAATCGTAGACAATCTATTTTCATTCAATTCCTTTCACTACAATCGATTCCTAACATTTCGATGGAATATTGCATACATTCAGGATTGTGTATCTTTCCTTAAGTCAATAGCTTGAATGGAATTTTAACTTTTAAATTAATCAACAGCGAATTTGAACTATAACTTCTTGCTTTTTCTTCTTCTCTTATTCTTAACTGCTCACGGTTTACCTACTTGTTTATTCGCTTTTGTCTTTTCTGCCCTTTTCTCTTTTTTTTCCGCCTCCCTCTTTGCGTCTCTTTATTTCAGGATGGCGCGATTGAGTTTGAGGAGTTCATTCGAGCGTTATCGATTACATCGCGCGGCAACCTGGACGAAAAGCTGCAATGTAAGTACAATCGGGGGAATGTATACGCCGCACACGTAGATTACTGCAAATTACTAGGTATGAATAGCTAAGCAGAGATTTGCACGATATTAAATTTGTATACCTGTGAATATTGATATGGCATGCAGTCAGTGGGGTTGGAGAGGGAAATTTAATACATTTTTTTTTCGTAGAATACGTGAGCATGAACGACTGTTTAGGGACTT